GGGCAGTAGAAAGTTGGAAGCTTTCATCCTGGGATTCTTCATTGTCATCACCCATTTTAGCATCCTGATCCTCCAATGCCGGCTCTTGGTTCCCCAGAGCTTCGGAAAGTCCCGGGTCATCTTTCCCAAAAGTCGTTCGGCCTTGGAGGGGAAATTGAGTATCACTCGGTTTGTTGATCTTGATTACCCGCAAGATTGATGCAGTACCATTGGATTCATTTTCAATAAGATCCTTTGTAGGTACAACCATGAATTCTTTTCTCCACATGAATTCGGGGTGAATGGCATAGCCAAGGAATAAACCAGGGCTCGATGTTGGGTCGAATCGAAGTCCCTCTTTGTTCTTCTTTCTCGGACCATTCCAATAGTCAACAAGACAACCAAAAGGAATGAGAGGACCATCAAATCTCGATCCAAAACGTAGTTCCCATGGTGACTTGTCTCCCCCCGTTGCAATGACATTCTGCATGAAGCACCAATGTCGGGCAGCATGAGGCCAGTGCCAATGATTCAGGCCTGCTTGGAGCAGATTGACACGAGTGCCTTCAAGAACTGACCGAACTGCTCTCTCGGCTTGGGCGTTGGACTTAGATATATAGTCCCTACTTAAGATGTGACGGCACTGAAGGATTTTCATTGCTGAAATTAATTCAGGTGCATTGTCACTGTAGAAGACTCCTATCTTATCTTCATGTCCAACAAAATGTTTGATCGCTAAGATCGCAGCATTGGTGGTTCGTCTGGCATTGGGGTAGACATACATAAATCCTGTGGCTATGTCCTTCACGACGAGTGCACTTTTCTCATCATCGATTCCCAACTCGTCTTCATCTCTGGTGACAATAAAATCAGCGGTGATGTGGTCACCAAATTTCTCAGCTTTAACTTTGGTTGATCCGCCTACGGCCCTTGAGGGTGGCTTGAACATCTTAGCCCTAGTGCATATGTCACAAAAAGGGTTCTTAGGGATGTGAGTCAGCATATGTCGAACGGACTTGGCTTCTTCTTTTAACTCTTTTTCCCCTAGTGACCTTTTGTGAGCACCATCATCATGGACATTACTACTGCTACCCTTAGATCCTTCCAAAGGCGGCTCAACCTCCCGGTCGGCATCAGGAACATCAACCTCCTCAGCTTCCAATGGCTGGGGCTCCGGTAAATCGACATTGATACCCATGGGGTCATCACCAATGATTTCAATGTCCCCATCGGGCTCCGGAGATTGTTGAGCTTCATCTGATGCCGGGGTGGCAATGCTTGGTCTAGGCTGAGTTGATGGAGTGGAAATCGTCTTTGAACTATTTGCAAAGTAGGGTACATAATCTCTGACAACTAACTCAATGCGTTCCCCATTTGGTTTGACCATGTACGGAGGTTCACCTTTGGAGCCTCTCCATATGAAGTCGTAACCATCATCAATGCATCTCATCCCGACCGAAATCACAGGAGGTGAGCTTCGAACAAGATAGGGGTCAATGGTCTTGCCTAACTTAGGAACAAATACTTTTCCTTGTTTCGATGACGAACTTTCTCCATTGGCAGTGATCATGCGAATGGGGTTGTTGGAGTAGTATCCATAGTCGTCCGGCAATTCACTATCATTGACAAGATCTTGGGCACTCCCCGTATCTGCAATCCAGTCAAGTTCGAGGTTGATCGCTCCCTTCACATCTTCTCTACATTCCGCAGGGGTGGCTTTGATTCCCTTTGGGATACATTCATTGCAACCAAAGTCTGTCACATAAATAGGCACATTTGCATTCTATTCCCCGAAGACAATTGGAAACTGATCCTGCCAACATGGTACCGGTCAAAGCGGCATCATTCACAGCAAGTTGATCAACTTCAAACTGGTGTCCCCATGGAAAGGTAACCTTATCCTTGGTGACTGCGTTTCCAATTGGCCTCAAGTTCCCTCGGACTTTAACATGAGATACGTCCGGTGAATCATCAAAACGAATCGATGGACAAAATACTCTTGGTTGAGGGATACAAAATGCCTGAGACACGGATGCAAGCATGGATGCAACAAGACAAACTGCGGCAGGAGACGGCTTAGATGAGCTGGCCCCGGATCCTTTAGACTTCGGGGATTTCGGGCTCTTGGGGCTCTTAGAGCGGCTAGAGCTTCAGGATCCCTTCCTTTTCGGGTTCTTGGGATTTCTCTTTTTATTTTTGTTTTCACTACTGGCCGAACGGGCAGGAGTAGCTTGTCTTGGCTTTCCCACTGAACCCTCATGAAGGAATTTGCAATCAGCTCCTCTATCGCAACGTCCCTGTTTCCAAAACTTGCAAATCTTCTTACCTTTCCCCTTTGGTTTGGGAGAACCAGAACGTTCACTTGAGCGACCTCTGGTTTTGCTAGGCTTGCGACTTCTGTCACGTGGCTTGGGGACTTCATGCTTATAAGTACAGTTGTCCTTACTACAGCCTCCCTTGTTCCATGCCACACAATACCCCTTGGGAATAAAACCTGTCTTGCCCTCGACTGCAGGAGCGGAGGGACGACCGGCACCCGAAAGACCTTTGGCAACTCGATCACGATTTGCCTCCAACCTCTCACGGTCAAGGTGGCGTCGCACGGCAGAAACAAGAAAACTGTAGTTCCGTTTTTCGGTTCCTTCATCAGCTCTATGATACTCATTCATATCATGTTGGATGGCCTTACAATTCTTCACCTGTTTGTAGAAGAGTGTTTCCAATACACTTTCGTCAGGAGCTTGGACAATACCAGCCAACACTTGATCCCAGTTTGAAATGAAAGACTTCAAATTCTCCCCACGCAATTGGACACTGAACAAATCTTGAAGGGCATAGGTTGCTCCGTGCTTGATGTTTGTACTGAAGTGGTCATGCAACATGAACAACACTTGTCTCCCTCTTACAATCCGTCCAGCGGTGGCTTCAGTCTCCTTGAAGGTGTCTACCTTGCGGGCGAAGTCACCAGTGATGATATTGGTGAGTGCAGAAAGTAACTTTGCATCTAATGTCGCAAACGGCGCAACCTTCCGGAGCGCTTCAAGGGTCTGCTCTTCTTTCCAAGAATCACTAATCCACTTGAAAGCACTGTCGGGATCGGTCGATGCTGCTACAACTGCTTCTCTAGTCTTGATTCTCCAATTGCGATAGGTTTCTGCCAACGGGAATGCTGGGATCTTGATGGTGTCAGCTTCCTTGACCTTGGGTTTGTCATCATGCCTTGGGTCAATGTAGCCACCTAAAAACTTGATCATTCTTCGCCTGAATTTTTCATCATCCTCATCATCGGGATCATCATCACCGTCACCATCGCCATCGGGAGGATTGGGACCAGCCTTTCCTTTTCTGGGTGCCTTACGGTTCCTATCCCCTTCAGGTTTATCAATTGGATCAGGTGGTGATGGTGGTCCACCTCCTCCATTTCCCCCGTTGTCGTCTCCTCCATCCCCGGGGTCGTCCCCATCAGGCGCGTCATCGCCCCCGGGCTCGAAGTAGTCCATCTCATCTGGGCCTATTTCGGTCGGGGCATATTGATTAGTCGGTGCTGGGGAATTGACATTGTCCATGGGATGGTTATCTCGGCGACGATTATTGGCCTCTCCTCCCGAAGGGCGTTCCTCAGCGGAAGACCTTGCAACATCCGACTCCTTCTTCACTTGAACTGGGACTCGATATGATGGGTCATGAAAAATGATTTCAATACCATCCTTTTCATAAGTCTTGGCATCAGGTGAAGTAAAGTTGATCGGCGTTCTTGCAATTGGAGGTCGGGCTACATTGGTCGGAGGTGCTGCGGGTGCAGCCTTTCTGGTTGGTGGAACAAACTCGAAATTTGGGATCTGCGTTGATTCATGGGTTCCGGCTGTCATGGTCATGGCGGCAGTTTCGACAATAGGGCTTGGACGAACCTGAGCAAAGTGGGAATCGAGCATACTTTGCAGTTTCAGATTATGTTGCATCTGGGCTTGTACCATGTGTTCAAGCTGTGTGATGCGCTCATTTTGAATCCTTCTCTCTTCCTCAGCTGCTCTCTTCAACTCAAGGATTTCTTGCTCCTTACTTGATAGTGATTGTCGATGGTTAGCATCAATAACACGTTGATAGGCTTGAATTTTCTCATTCATCTGAGCTTCACGGAACCTTACGTGTTCGTGCGCCTCATGCTGTAAATTCTCTTTATATTGAGCACTCACATTCAAAAGTTCTTGTTCTTTGATTCTGATAGCATCAAGGGCCCTCTGACTTTCAATACCCTCGCGGACTCGCAAAGCTTCCTTCAACTCCTCAGTCTTGGCCGTGTGGATCGCTTCAGCCTGAGCTTCGGTGTGAGCCAACACCTCACGATGACGGAGCTCGGCCGCTGTTTCCACAAGGCTTGTCATGGCAGGATCATGTGAATGGACATGCAAATTCTGCTCGACAAAATTCACTTGAGGATTATCCATATGCACATTGTGGTGAAATGTGTTGTGAACATTCATTTGGTTCAATTGGCGAGTCGGCGGCCCACTCTCCCGAGCGGCTTGGGGAACATATCCACGATGGTTAAAACCGGCATGAGAAGGCACAATTGCGTTACTCAGATGCGGCAAGTGGCGTCTGTCCCTCAAACTACGCGATTTGTCGGAACCAGTGGGTGTGCTTATGTCAATGGAGAATGTGGTGTCTGAAATAGGCAAGGCTCCCGGATTTGCCATGGCTGCGTCAGAGGAAACGGGAATACCGGGGCCCTCAGGGGAAGTACCTGAGGGGCAGACATGCCTACGGAAGAGAAGTTAGCTTACGGCTGATAACCTGTTTTACAGGCTAACACGCCACAAACGAACAGCAATACGCGCTTGTTTTCTTGAGCCATAACATAACGTAGGTAGATGAATTAATACAGTATGTACAGGGGTATTCATATTAAACAATATCTACCATAAACCATAAACCAACTTAGCTATCTTGGGGGCCCCATCCTCTATATGTTTTTCTATATGTTTCTGCCCCGAAAAACCCTCAACCGCAGAAATAGCAGCTTCTCCCACAACTTGGAGCGGGAGATGTCGCGGCGTTCCAAGCGCCGGCGCCACTGCTCGAAGCGATCCTCCCGAGAAGCCCACGAATAAAGTTAGCCACTTGTGGACATGGTATTTGTAGATTATGTTCATATAAGAATTAGATTCATTAGTCGAAGGAAGTTTAGAAGTGAAACTTCCGACAATATGGACAGTTGAAAAGCAGAGGTGAGAAGAGTCAGGAGAGAAAAGATCAGAAGAAAGAAGATGCAGGTGCGCG